CTCTCGAAAGAAGTGAGTGGGAGGAAAGTAGAACTTGATGAGGTAACTGTACCTGCTCCCTTATTGGAAATTAGTTCATCACAGAAATTTGTTCTAGTGACTACTACACCAATTAGTGAGGAAGTTAATGATGATGATCATGAAACTTCAGATTAAGTTACTACAGAACCTCGTAGGTCTTACAAAGTAAGATCCGCACCAGAGTGGTACGGTAATCCTGTTCTGGAAGTTATGTTACTAGACCATGACGAACCTACGAACTATGAAGAAGCGATGGTGAGCCCAGATTCTGCGAAATGGCTTGAGGCCATGAGATCTGAGATAAGATCCATGTATGAAAACAAAGTATGGACTTTGATTGACTTGCCCAATGATCGGCGGACATTGAGATTAAATGGATCTTCAAGAGGAAGACGGACGCTAATAGTGTTACTATCTACAAAGCTAGAATTGTCGCAAAAGGTTTTCGACAAGTTCAAGATGTTGACTACGATGAGAGTTTTTCACTCGTATCTATGCTTAAGTCTGTCTGAATCATGTTAGCAATTGCCGCATTTTATGAAATCTGGCAAATGGATAAACAAAACTGCATTCCTTAATGGTTTTCTTAAAGAAGAGTTGTATATGATGCAACCAGAAGGTTTTGTCAATCCTAAAGGTGCTAACAAATTGTGCAAGCTCCAGCGATCCATCTATGGACTGGTGCAAGCATCTCGGAGTTGGAACATATGCTTTGATGAGTTGATCAAAGCATATGGTTTTATACAGACTTTTGAAGAAGCCTGTATTTACAAGAAAGTGAGTGGGAGCTCTGTAGTATTTCTAATATTATATGTGGATGACATATTGTTAATTGGAAATGATATGGAAATTCTGGATAGCATGAAAGGATACTTGAATAAGAGTTTTTCAAAGCAAGACCTCGGTGAAGCTGCTTACACATTGAGCATCAAGATCTATATAGATAGATCAAGACGCTTGATAAGATTTTTCAATGAGTACATACCTTGATAAATTTTTGAAATAGTTCAAAATGGAACAGTCAAAGAAGGAGTTCTTGCCTGTGTTACAAGGTGTGAAGTTGAGTAAGACTCAAGACCCGACCATTGCAGAAAATAGAAATAGAATGAAAAGTCATTCCCTATGCCTCAGTCATAGGTTCTATAAAGTATGCTATGCTGTGAACCAGACCTATTGTATACCTTGCTCTTTGTTTGGCAAAGCAATACAATTTTGATCTAATAGGTAGATCACTGGACATGGGTCAAGAATATCCTTAGTGAGGACTAAGGAGATGTTTCTCGATTATGGAGGTGATAAAAGAGCCCGTCGTAAAAGTTACAACGATGCAAGCTTTTACACCAATCCAGATGACTCTAAGTCTCAATCTGGATACATATTGAAAGTGGGAGCAATTAGCTAGAGTAGCTCCGTGCAGAGCATTGTGGACATAGAATATTTGCGAAATACATACGGCTCTGAATATGACAGACCCATTAACTAAGCTTTTCTCACGAGCAAAACATGATCATACCTTAGTACTCTTTTGGGTGTTAATCACATAGCGATGTGAACTAGATTATTGACTCTAGTAAACCCTTTGGGTGTTGATCACATGATGATGTGAACTATGGGTATTAATCACATGCAGATGTGAATATTGGTGTTAAATCACATAGCGATGTGAACTAGATTATTGACTCTAGTGCAAGTGGGAGACTGAAGGAAATATGCCCTAGAGGCAATAATAAAGTTATTATTTATTTCCTTATTTTCATGATAAATGTTTATTATTCATGCTAGAATTGTATTAACCGGAAACATGATACATGTGTGAATACATAGACAAACATATAGTCACTAGTATGTCTCTACTTGACTAGCTCATTAATCAAAGATGGTTATGTTTCCTAACCATAGACATGTGTTGTCATTTGATTAATGGGATCACATCATTAGGAGAATGATGTGATTGACATGAACCATTCCGTTAGCCTAGCACTTGATCGTTTAGTATGTTGCTATTGCTTTCTTCATAACTTATACAAAGTTCCTGCAACTATGAGATTGTGCAACTCCCGTTTACCGGAAGGACACTTTGTGTGCTACCAAACGTCACAACGTAACTGGGTGATTATAAAGGTGCTCTACAGGTGTTTCCGAAGGTACATGTTGGGTTGGCATAATTCGAGATTAGGTTTTGTCACTCCGATTATCGGAGAGGTATCTCTGGGCCCTCTCGGTAATACTCATCGCCTAAGCCTTGCAAGCATTGTAACTAATGAGTTAGTTATAAGATGATGTGTTACAGAACGAGTAAAGAGACTTGCCGGTAACGAGATTGAACTAGGTATTGGATACCGACGATCGAATCTCGGGTAAGTAACATACCGATGACAAAGGGAACAAAGTATGTTGTTATGCGGTTTGACCGATAAAGATCTTCGTAGAATATGTAAGAGCCAATATGGGCATCCAGGTTCCGCTATTGGTTATTGACCAAGAATAGTTCTAGGTCATGTCTACATAGTTCTCGAACCCGTAGGGTCTGCACGCTTAAGGTTTCGATGACAATTATATTATGAGTTTATGAGTTTTGATGTACCGAAGGAGTTCAGAGTCCCGGATGAGATCGGGGACATGACGAGGAGTCTCGAAATGGTTGAGACGTAAAGATCGATATATTGTACGACTATATTCGGAGTTCGGAAAGGTTCCGAGTGATTCTGGTATTTTTCGGAGTACCGGAGAGTTACGGGAATTCGCCGGGGAGTATATGGGCCTTATTGGGCCATACGGGAATTGAAGAGAGAGGCCGAAAGGAAGGAGGCGCGCAGCCCCCCTCTGGTCCGAATTGGACAAGGGGTGCAGCCCCTCTTTCCTTCCTCCTCTCCCCCTCTTTCCCCCTTCTCCTACTCCAACAAGGAAGGAGGGGGTCCTACTCCCGGTGGGAGTAGGACTCCCCATGGCGCGCCTCTCCCTGGCCGGCCGCCTCCTCCCCTTGCTCCTTTATATACGGGGGCAGGGGGGCACCCCATGACACACAAGTTGATCTACGGATCGTTCCTTAGCCGTGTGCGGTGCCCCCCTCCACCATATTCCACCTCAGTCATATCGTCGCGGAGTTTAGGCGAAGCCCTGCGCCGGTAGAACATCATCATCGTCACCACGCCGTCGTGCTGACGGAACTCATCCCCGAAGCTTTGCTGGATCGGAGCCCGGGGATCGTCATCGAGCTGGACGTGTGCTGAACTCGGAGGTGCCGTACGTTCGGTGCTTGGATCGGTCGGATCGTGAAGACGTACGACTACATCAACCGTGTTGTCATAACGCTTCCGCTTACGGTCTACGAGGATACGTGGACAAACACTCTCCCCTCTCGTTGCTATGCCATCACCATGATCTTGCGTGTGCGTAGGAATTTTTTTGAAATTACTACGTTCCCCAACATAATTTCACTATCCTTCTTTCCCAAAGAAGCACCAATGTTCTTTAGGCTAGTGGAAATGCGAGTATCCGAAAAAGAAAGAAAAGATTGAACAGACGTGGTACCTGGCGTGGGGACCAAATTCCTCGAGGCATGGTGGCGCATTGCTTTTGCTAGCGAATGCTCATCAGAAGAAGAAGAACCATTTGTAGAGATGGAGTGACGGCTACTACGTTGAAGGGGTGAAGTCAGCCCTCCAAACATAATACACATCGGTATCTTCAATTGAGCTGTTGGTGAAGTTTTCTGCGACATAATACCCATCGGTCTCTTCCAATATTAATTGACATGGACCTTTGGATGATACTTACGGCTGCTGCTACTCTGATGCCATAAGACATTTTGTTTCAGAAGCTTTAATTCATGGTGTCCTATTTTAGAAGTTTTCCTTTATGTGTCGGAATCTTTTTCTATGGACCCTGATAACCTCCGAACGTCAAGTACGAGCACATGGCAATGCTTTTTATGGCAAGTTTAGTTACGTGTGGATGACAATTTTTGTTGGGTAGTCTCACATAGGGCTGGATCAAAAGCTCGTAGCTCGCGAGCTTAATGAGCGCTCAATAGTTCAGCTTGTTAAGCTCGTAGCTCGCTTCTTAATGAACAGAGTCAATCATTGATTTTAGCTCGTTAAGCTTAACGAGCGAGCTAACGAGTTTCACGAGTAGCTCGTTAAGCTCGTTAGTAACAACACAACACAAATTTTCATATTACGTGACAAACTTTTTGTAGCATCTCAGCCCATCTGTTTAATCTAATCGACCTATGAGGCAACAAACTACTTTATTTCTTTTTGTAGTCACCATATTTCATCTTGAAAACCATACCTACACATTCATCACGTATATCATAACACATTATAATTTATTAACGAGCGCTCGCGAGCGCTCACGAGCTTAACGAGCTTCAAGCGAGCCGAGCCGAGCAGGGTTTTCTGCTCGTTAATCTTAACGAGCTTAACGAGCCGAGCCTTAACGAGCACGAGCTTAACGAGTACGAGCTTGACGAGTCGAGCTGCTCGTTGGTCCAGCCCTAGTCTCACAGTTTTCGTGCTTCAGTTTATTTTTGATAGAAACTTGCCTGTAATTTGCCATCCTTGAGTGAGTGGAATTGTCATTGAAAAACATGAGGACCAAGACGCCACGCACCTAACAGGTACTCCCTCCGTTCCAAAATAGATGATTCAATTTTGCACTAACTTCAGTACAAAGTTAGTACAAAGTTGTGTCATCTATTTTGAAACGGAAGGAGCAACACTTATCATTTGGGTTTTCTATTCCAGCAGGAACCTGTTGAATTCAGAAAATGCTTGGGTTTACCACCGAATAATTCGAGACGTCCCTATTATTCATTGTTGTTGGATCTTGACCGTGGCATCCCAGGTCAACCCCTTGTGACAAGTCAACACGCGCAATGGAAGTCAGAAACAGCGGCAGAGCTCCTATAGCTAGCCAGATTCACCATTAACTTTCTCCTCCCTGCTCTGCTGTGCTCTGTTCTGCTCGGCCGAGAAATGGAGGAGGAACCCCCGCTGGCGGAGCCTCGGTCGCAGCGGTTCGTGCTCTGGCTGCACGGGCTGGGGGATAGCGGCCGCGCAAACGAGCCGGTGGCCGGGTACGCCTTCGCCGGCGCCCGCTGGGCCTTCCCCACGGCGCCTACAGCTCCCGTCACATGCAACCGTACGTATACATCGGACCTCCTTCACTTCCATTGCTTGCTTGCTTAACGCTTGACATTCTGGTGGTATGATCTGTACGTGTTTCGCGTGCATCAGGTGGCATGCTAATGCCATCGTGGTTCGACATCCACGACACGCCCATCACCTCCGTAAGCCAAACACTCAATCCTCGCGTCGACCTTAGATCCACACAAAATCATGTATGTTGCAGAGACTGATGGCCGTGACGTGTAATGAATCCCCTCCCCTCGGTGGCAGAAATCCGTGAGGGGCGAGGCGGACGTGCTGCGGGCCGTGGAGAGCGTGCACGCCATGATCGACCGGGAGATATCCGCCGGCACGAGGCCGGAGGATGTCTTCGTCTTCGGGCTCAGCCAGGGAGGTACGACCTGCTCTGCCTGCTATGTAGTACTCCTACATTCTCTAGAACACTGTAACATACTACGAACGAATTGCATGAGCAGGCGCGCTGAGCATTGCCAGCGTGTTGCTGTATCCCAAGACGCTGGGCGGCTGCGCCGTCTTCAGCGGCTTCCTCCCCTTCGGATCCTCCTTCGCGTCCAGGGTGACGGCCGAGGCCAAGAAGACGCCGGTGCTGTGGGTGCACGGGCGAGCGGACTTCCTGGTGCCGATCGAGGCCGGCAAAGACGGGACCAAATTCCTGAGGGGACGGCTCGGCATGAGGTGCGAGTTCAAGGTGTACGACGGGCTTGGCCATGAGCTGGCGCCCTACGAGCTCGAGTACTGCGAGCGCTGGGCCGGGGGCGGGACTGGTGGCTCCAACGACGACCCAGGGACAAGAAGCGTGGACCGTGGCGTCCCGAGGACCAGGTGCTCCTGCAGCTGTGGATTCGGCTTCTTCTCTTGGTCGTAACGCGACGTGGATCGCCGAGCGGAACGACTTTATTTTTTCCCTTTTCCTTTGGCACTGATTACTGAAAATGGTCCAATCATGTATCCTTTAAAAAAAATCCATTAAACCCATTAAGCTATGCGTGAAGGATGGCCAACCAGCTATGCCACGTGGCGCAAACTGGTTGGCCGCGGTGAGAAATTTTTTTAATTTTTTTTAGATGGAGGTGTGGATTAAACCCATTAAGTTACGCGTGACGGGTGACCAAGCAACTATGCTACGTGTGAAGGGCGGCCAACCAGCTATGCCATGTGGCCCAAGCTAGTTGGCCGCGGTGAGAAATCTTTTGAATTTTTTTTAGATGAAGGTGTGGAGTAAACCCATTAAACTACGCGCGAAGGGTGACCAACCAGCTATGCCACGTGACGCAAGCTGGTTGGCCGCGGTGAGAATGCCACGTTCCCCTCCCCTGCTCTGCTCTGCTCTGTTCTGCTCGGCCGAGAAATGAAGGAGCCCCCGCCGGCGGAGCCTCAGTCGCAGCGGTTCGTGCTGTGGCTGCACGGACTGGGCGACAGCGGGCGCGCAAACGAGCCGGTGGCCGGGTACGCCTTCGCCGGCGCCCGCTGGCAGCGGCGGAGCCAGCGTATTGGTGTTGGGTTCAGCTGAACCCAACGAACTTTTCTAGCCGCGTATAGTATACAGATATATAGACACTTTGACCCCAATAAAAAATATGGGCTGACCCCATCAACTTAGAAAGCAACGCTCAGATGCAAAGCCCAAAAGCCCACAAGTTAATTACCACCGTGACAAGCCTGTTCGTGACTCCCCTCCTCAATCGAGTTCTCCTAAATCCTAATGTGTGCTTTTCTTTGCTGTTGGTTCAGTGCAATTTTCAATCACCGGCGAGCAGCGTACAATCAGAGGAAGAAGAAGACTAGTATGCTTTTTATTGTAATTTTATTTTTCATTGATCGTTCTACGTCCAGTTGTCTTTCATTTGTACTGACCTTTGTTTTCTTCGATGATAATCAGATTTAAGATGCCCTTTGAATGTCTTTATTCAAAAAAAAATCCTAATGTGTACACGGCAGCCGCAGGTCCGCTTCCTTGACTCTCCGATCTGGCCTCTTCTATTTACCATCAATTGATCACGATTCTAATCAACAGCGACGAGCCGACAACGGGAAGTCGACGACGGCAAGCTGACTATTATAGTTCAAATCCAAGGTAAGGTATTGATATCGCATCATCACATCTCCTCTCTATTGCACATGCCGCCAATGTTAATCGATATTAGTTTCTCAAAGGGAAGTTGATCACCAGATCCAAAAATCTGCGGGCAATTCAAGGCCACCCATCAGACATAGGTAAAGTTTGTCAAATATCGGTGTCGTAAACGGCCACTTAAATCCAGAGGAATTAGTTTATACGTGTTTTTGCGGTATAATTAATTTAGATGTGTTGATTTACGATCTGGCTAATCAGAAGAGAATTCCAGAGCACAATGATATTAGGCGAAGATATTTAATCAGAGGACCTTACACCGCCTAATTTTGTTATCCAAAAATGGCCATTGGCGATGCTTGACGATAATTTATCCCGGGATATCGTTTGATCAATAACATGTTGCTTTTTCTTTGGTGTATCACGATGCTTTTCGGTTGAATGTTGTCAGTAAAAAGTTTCATGACAAAATTGGTAATTCATGAGTTTATTTGTACCAGGTGCTCCTGCAGCTGTGGATTCCCGAGGACCAGGTGCTCCTGCAGCTGTGCATTCGGCTTCTTCTCTTGGTCGTAACGCGACGTGGATCACCGAGCGGAACGACTTTATTTGTACGTGTTTCGCGTGCATCAGGTGGCATGCTGATGCCGTTGTGGTTCGACATCCACGACACACCCATCACCTCTGTAAGCCAAACACTCAATCCTCCCGTGGACCTTAGATCCACACAAAATCATGTAAGCTGCAGAGACTGATGGCCGTGACGAGTAATGAATCCCCTCCCCTCGTTTGGCAGAAATCCGTGAGGGGCGAGGCGGACGTGCTGAGGGCCGTCGAGAGAGTGCACGCCATGATCGACCAGGAGATATCCGCCGGGACGAGGCCGGAGGATGTCTTCGTCTTCGGGCTCAGCCAGGGATGTACCCACGCACAATCACCCGCTGGAACTACTCATCACTCTGTACTCTGTAGTGTAGTTTACGAACAAACTGAGGATGAAATTGCATGCGCAGGCGCGCTGAGCATCGCGAGCGTGCTGCTGTACCCGAGGGCGCTGGGCGGCTGCGCGGTCTTCAGCGGTTTCCTCCCGTTCGGCGCCTCCTTCACGTCCAGGGTGACGGCCGAGGCCAAGAAGACGCCGGTGCTGTGGGTGCACGGGCGAGCGGACTTCCTGGTCCCGATCGAGGCTGGGAAAGACGGGACGAAATTCCTGCAGGGACGGCTCGGCATGAGCTGTGAGTTCAAGGTGTACGACGGGCTCGGCCACGAGCTGGCGCCCTACGAGCTGCAGTACTGCGAGCGCTGGGCCGCCGGCGGGGGTGGTGGCTCCAACCACGACCAAGGAACAAGAAGCGTGGACCGTGGCGTCCCGAGGAGCAGGCGCTCTTGCAGCTGCGGATTCGGCTTCCTCTCTCGGTCGTAACGCGACGTGGATCGCCGAGCGGAAGTTTTCTTCCTTTCCCTTTGGTTACTGAAAATGGTCCAATCATGTATCCTTAAAGAAAAAGGTCCATGTTTCAAATGGTGGAGACTGAAATCTGACTAGGGATCACACATTTTGACTTTCAACATGCATTTCTCGCCGCATCACACTGACATTAAGCACGGTGCACGGATAACATTTCTACCCTTTCGAGAGTAGTCCTATTCATGATTCTTTAATGACCACTAAAGGAACATACATGCATGAAATCAACATGTTTCCACATGAACTCCTATTGGTACATGATTTGCAAAATGAATGAAAATATCAAACTCACGTGCAAGTTCACACTTCCGGAATGACATCCATAGACCCTATATATATGTAAGCTTTCAAGAGCTCGACTGAAAGCAAAACTGCCGTAGATTGGAGTGATAATCCTTGCGAGCGTGTCATGCTAGGCTTGCATTCTTCCTTTCCCCGCTCAATGTATTTGTGAACTCTGGGTACTGGAGGGAAACAAAGACACAAGATGGCACTTTATAATTTTTCTTGTCGGTATTTGTACCACGCAAGCTTATTAATCTGTTGTACCGCTTGTGCCTTTCCAATCCTTGGAGCGTTCTTCCTCGAGAAAATGATGTGTCATTCTGAAAAAAACTATTGTAGAATCTTATGCAACTCATGGAAAGCCACCTTGGTTTTCCTAGATTCAGTATTTAAGTATAGAAGTGTCTTTGTCGAAAAAAAAAGTATAGAGGTCTACCCGACACAAGTAGCTTTGTAGGCAACCTCAAATGATATAGAGTTAATTTCATCTTTTACCCCCAGATTCACCAAATTGACAAATTTTACCCATTTTCGAGAAAATCCTCGGTTTATGCCCCCATTTTACATATTTGTGCCACATTTTATCCCTAATCGACTAGGCATGCCAAGTTGGGTTTTTTTATTCTGTGTGGTATTGACTCTGTTTTTTTTCTCTTTAGTAAAACCGGTTCAGCCCTGCCCGCGCTGCACCACAGCTGATCCGGCCAGCACTGCACTGCCTACCCGAGCCATCTGGTCTGGACCGCATTGCACCCACCCGAGCCACACCTGGTCTCGTCTTCCCCTTGAATCCCTAGTTCCCAAATGGCCCCGTTGCCCCTCCCCCGTCGGCCACTGTCGCTAGCGCCATCTAGCCCCCAATCGTCGCCTTCACCTCTTTCGCCATGTCCTCCTCCAGCTTGATCCGGCCAGCTCCGAGCGGCCGCTCTGTAGTGGTGCCACTGATCCCTTGCCCTTACTACAGACAGATATTCAAGTTCTACATCACCGGCACTGAGGATCGCGATGGTTGGGTGTTCAAAAAGTGCAAGAAGAACAATGTAGTCATTATTTGGTTGTTGTCTTAGGTCTACATTTGATTTTTGTTAGCTGCAAATTTCTGAATTTTGTGCGTGCTTGATAGATAAACTGTGATTTCTGGCACTGGGAGCTAGAGTATGTGGAGAACCTGGTTAGTAGAAGAGCCCTTGTGGGTGATGATGTTGTTGATGCAATTGGTGCAACAGATAACAGAAGGGAAGAACTTGAGCAAGAAAGAGGTGAAAGGGGGAGGATTGCAGGTTTAGTGAGGGCCAATGTATGTAGTCAGAGTAATGCAGTTGCCATGACCAAGCAACAAGCAGCTATGTTGTTAGGATTAGGGAGAGAAGTGTTGTTTGTGTTGAAGCTGTTGTTTGCAAGTGTTATGCTGCTGAGTGTTGTGTTTGTTTATGGTTCTAAAGAAAGAATGAAATGGTTCTAATAAATGGTGCTACTTAGTCAGCACAAATAGTTATGAAGATATGCAACTTGTAGCAGCATAAGTACTTTCTTTGCTATAGTTGTAAGGGGTGATCAATGGTAGTGTTAGTTTAGAAGTAGCAATGTTGTAAGGGATAACCAATGCCCCTTCTATCTATCACCTTCTTTTTGCCAATGACTCCCTTATTTTTATGAAAGCAGCTGATCATAATGCAAATACATTGAAGAGGATTCTAGACACTTACTGTGCTAGTTTAGGCCGGCATTTGAGTATAGCAAAGTTCAGTATTTTCTTTAGTCCTAACACTAGATTCTTAGCCAGGGAAGGTGTTTGCGGCATTTTGCATGTATTAGCTAAAGCTTTTTCAGATAAGTATCTGGGTCTCCCCACGATGGTTGGGGTAGACCGAAGTGATTGTTTTCAGAATCTACTTGACAGAGTTTGCCAGTGGCTAAAGGGATGGAATGAGAAATTTCTATATGTGCAAGGTAAAGAAAATTTGTTAAATCTATAGCACAACAACATTCCTCTGTTATGTATGTGTTTAAATTGCCTAAAGGAATCCATAAATCAATTACAGATGAGATATCAGGGTTTTGGTGGGGAGATGGAGAAGAAAATAAAAAATGCATTGGTTTGCATGGTGAAAAATATGCATTCCAAAGAAGAAGGGTGGCACGGGGTTTAGAGACCTTCACAACTTTAATCTTGCTATGTTAGCAAAGCAGTGTTGGCGACTTCTCCAAAATCCTGATTCTCTCTGTGTGTGCAAGTGATGAGTGCTCATTATTATCCAAATGGTGATATATTAAAAGCAGTAACAAAGAAAGGTTCCTCGTTTACGTGGCAAATCATTTTTGAGGGAATTCGGACTTTCAAAAGGCACTAGTAGAAAAGAGGGCTTTGGTCCAGGCCGGTTTAGCCCATTAGTCCCGGTTCAATCCAGAACCGGGACTAATGGGGGCATTAGTCCCGGTTCGTGAGCCCAGGGGGCCGGCCGGGCCACATGGGCCATTTGTCCCGGTTCGTCTGGACCTTTTAGTACCGGTTCGTGGGACGAACCTGGACTAAAGGGTGCGATGCCCATTAGTACCGGTTCGTGGCACCAACCGGGACTAAAGGGTTAGACCTTTAGTCCCGGTTCGTGCCACGAACCGGTACTAATGGGGTTTGAGGCATTAGTACCGGTTCATGGCACGAACCGGTACTAAAGGTCCCATTTTCAAACTCTACCCCCCCCCCCCCGGTGGATCGCCTTTTCAGTTTTCAAAAAAATAAAAGAAAATGATGAAAATGTCAAAAAATTAAAAGAAAATAAGTTTCCCATGTGATATGTGGTCTAGTTGTTGGGAAAATTTGCAAATGTGAATTTTGACTTTATTTGCAAAATCTCTCTAGAATTTAGTAAAATGGGCATAACTTTTGCATACTAACTCGAATGAAAAAGTTTTTTATATGAAAAATCATCTACTCGAAAAGTTACATCCAAATTTAACCGGGGTGGGGGGGGGACCTCTTTAAACATTATTAAAATCCTCAAAAACCTAACAGAAAAAAAGTTACGGGGCTTTTAAGATCTAGAGTGGAAAAGATCAAAAAAAATTCAAACTGTGTGGTCAAACTGTGATCAAACAATGGTATAACTAATTATTCTAGAATATTAGTGTTACTACATAATTATTTCAGTTATTTTGAATTTTGGTCAAATCTGGTCAAACTATGGTCAAACTGTGGTCAAACAATGGTCAAACTAATTATTCAAGAAAAATTAGTGTTACTAAATAATTACTGTTTTTTTAAAACAATAGTTTCAAACTCAAACAGTGAAATGTGCCACTTCATGCAAAATTCCTGAGGGTTAATAGGATTGACATCTTACTATTATCATGAAGAGGAAGGCGTCACCAGATATGATGCGGGCACTAGTAGAAAAGGGGGCCTTTAGTCCCGGTTCTTGAACCGGGACTAAAGGGTCGTTACTAATGCCTCCCCCCTTTAGTCCCGGTTCAAACTGGAACCGGGACTAAAGGGTCGTTACTAATGCCTCCCCCCTTTAGTCCCGGTTCAAACTGGAACCGGGACTAAAGGTCGTGGCCACGTGGAGCTCCACCTTTAGTCCCGGTTGGTAACACCAACCGGGACTAAAGGACATTTTATGATCTTTCTTTTTTGAATTTTTTTTGAAATTTTTTGATTTTCAAATTTCTGAATTATTTTAACCTCTAATCTCCACCCCTCATCACTGCTCAATTTATTCTCTAATCTCTAATAACCCTCATCATTCCTAATCATCTAACTTCCCGAACGGTCACCCATCCTCCCACTCCCCCAGCCTGAGCACGCTTAACTTCCGGGTTCTATTCTCCCTCGTTTCCAAGTCTGCACTTGTTGTTTTCCTGACAATAGTAAGATGTCAATCCTATTAACCCTTAGGAATTTTGCATGAAGTGACACATTTCACTGTTTGAGTTTGAAACTATTGTTTTAAAAAACAATAATTATTACTGCTAGCGCTGGGGCCCAAACGCCAGAGACATGTGACATGCATTGGGCTCTCACCAGACACCGTTGATGTATGCCGACGGTTTAAAGAAAGGCTGCCCTAGGCAGCTTTTTTGTGATTAATACATATGCTACTACATATCAAGAAGAAATGTGACAAGTACTCCCTCCGTTCCTAAATATTTGTCATTTTAGAAACTTTAAATGGACTACCATATACGGATGTATATAGACATATTTTAGAGTGTAGATTCACTCATTTTACTTCGTATGTAGTCACTTGTTAAAATCTCTAGAAAGACAAATATTTAGGAACGGAGGAAGTAAATCATAGTTATGCATCCACATCAATTAGTGATTCATATTACGAGTAGTACTTTTTACTAACAACTACAAAGACAACGGTACATCCCCGCAAAAAAATGACAACGGCATACAATCCAGCTAATATAAAAACAACACTTAATAGCTTGGTGCCCTTAGACTTGAGCTGCTGCTTATGCTTTCTATTAATCTTTCTCTCCATCTTAAATCTTTCGGTATCGGCCTCTTTATCTCTTTGTTTTTCCTCAAGCACGAACTTCTGGCTCACAAGCTCCATGATAAAACTTCTAGTCCTCCCCTCCCATTCTTTGTCAACCCGCTTCACATAATTGCAAGCAGTAGACTCCTGCGAAGTGCAACAAACTAACAAATTACATTACAC